TCTTGTGACCCGCTATTTCCGGGGTGCCTTGATAGTGGAAGCAGACTTTGTGCTGTTGAAGCTAGAGAGGTGAGCAGAGTAAGTCTGATTCCCTGTAAAGACTTCTCTGTTGACACCCACCCCTTGGCGCTCATATGACCTTATGCAGTTGCGAGTGCCGTAAAACTCTCTACTGTAAAAACAAAGAGTGATTCATCGTGTGTTTTTGTGGTTTGTTTTGTTTCAGCATCGGTAAGAGCACCATGGGTCAGACTCTGTGGATGCTGCGTCTGGGGCACGGTCATGTGACGGAGCGCGTGCCGCCGAGCGTGATGTTCATCGGGGGCCTGCACGGGGACGAGGCGGTGTCCAGCGAGGCGCTTCTCATGCTGGGGACTCACCTGTGCTCTCAGTACAGTCGCAACGAATTTGTACGGCAGGTGAGGTTTACAGCAGGTTTACAATGGCAAACATACATTTACATACATAAATACATCCTTATAAATACGTACATACATAAATACATGAATAAATACGATTTTGTGCAGCTAGCAGGTGAGGGGGCTCGGGTGGTGGTGGTGGTAGTGGTGCTGTCGTTACTGTTGTTGATGGTGGTGGTGAGAGGTCATGGGGGTGGTGGTGGTAGTAGTGGTGGTGTGGTAGTAGTGGTGATGGTGGTAGTGGTGGGGGTGGTGGTGGTTGTAGTAGTGGTGGTGGTGTCGTTAGTGTTGTTGATGATGGTGGCGGTGGTGGTGGCTGTTGTTGGCATTGTTGATTTTGGTAGTGGTGGTTATTGGTTGTGGAGGTTGTTGTTGGGTGTGATGGTTTTGGTAACGTTTGGATGGTTGTGGTTAGTGGTAGTTGAAGTCAGTGCAGGTAGTAGGCAATACCACTTTCACTGAATTAATGGTCTTGGTAATCATTAATTGGTCGCTTTTAAACACAAGTGTGCTATCCCGAAAAATGCTGTTTGGAGAAAATCAAAGGTTAAGTTTTTGCCCCTTGTTCAGTTTCTTTTAAAGAAAAAAGAGAGTTTTCTCAATAACTTTCGGCACTTATATGGCCTTATTGTGATTGTGTTGCAAGTGCCGTAAAACTCTTACTAAAACTACAACTGTTACGGTCTGTCTGTGTTTCAGATGCTTGACTCGATGTACGTGTACATGGTCCCGGCCGTGAACGTCGACGGAGCCCGTGTGGCCGTGGAAGGGTTCTGTGAGGCGGGAATGGGACACAACAACTCGCAGAACGTCGACCTGGACAAGAACTTTTTCCGTAAGTCTGTCTGAGGAGGCAGAGTCGGTTCTCTCTCTTGTCTGTCTGTCTGTCTCTGTCTGTCTGTCTGTCTCTCTCTCTGTCTCTTTCTCTCTCTCTCTCTCTCTCTCTCTGTCTGTCTCTGTCTCTCTTT